TATGTCTGTGTAAATAATCTGTCTGTGCCAAGAGCTTTCAACCGGAAGTAATGTGTTGTATTGTTTCTGGCATGATGTGACATTTTCTGCATGTGTCATTTGTGAGTGTTGTATCTTTGAGTATGTGTTTTCTGTAGTTTTTAGTATTTATGACCTGATCCTGTATGGCAATCATGAATCCTTCNTTATACTTTTACTGTAAAATAAAAAAATTTATAAAATTATTGCATATACAATAAATAAAATTGATTATATGGTGGTAATAAAGAAATTATCTTATATATATTTAAATATTTCACTCCAAATTTCTGGAATTATAGAAACTAAAACATATCATTGTACTTCTATAAATACTATAAAATATATTTAATTATTAATTTACTTTAATAAATAAATAGAATAAATTTTTTCTACATTCAGATTTTAATTTAAAACTTTCTTACTTCAAAAAAAAAATTATTTCATTTGGAATTTGATATCAGTTTTGAAAATGGAAAAAGGACTTCTAAAAAGTTTTAATTAAATTTTTCTCTCGTAATTTTATTTTTTAAACCTTCCTAGAGATTCTGACTGGAAATAAAGTTATTAAAAAAGATATTAAAATTAATTGTAAAAAGAAGTATAGTGGAAACAATGATTTCAATTTCTGAAAAGAAAAACAAGAAAAAAATGTGTTAGAATTTTCAAATTTTGTAGTAATTTCTTTTGTCTTTTAAATTTTTTTTATTTTCAAAATAAAATTTGATGATGATTTCTTATAAAACAAGTTTTACTGACTGATGTTAAAAGAGCTTATTGCCAACACACAAACAATATACAGCTATTTGAATGATTATAGTAATATTAAATATTAATATATAACTTAATATAAATTTATTTTACACAGTTTATTTATTGTATTATGATGAAAGTTATATAAAATTAATTTTTTAAATTGATTAAAAAAATAAACTAGATTATTTACGTAAAATAATATAAAATTATAATCTGCAAAATAATTTTAAATTAATTTCTAGTAAGTTGACAGTAAATAAGTGATTCTTGCAATAATAGTAAAATCCAGCAACGAGTTGCGTAACTTTCCAGGTAATAACATTTAATACTTCATGGGGCACCATCTGTTATATTTTATTTAATAAACTTTATAGTATTATTATAAAATGACAAAAAAACCTAATTTTGAGAGTAGAAATGAGTTTTATAAAAATATTTGTAAATATTAATTACGAGTAAAATTTTCATTAAGTCCGATCCCACTCGAGATACGACACACGACTCCTTATACCTCACAATTCCCTCGACCTTTAACCACTAAAATTTAATATCAGCAGTCCCACTAATATACAAACCGCCCTGCAAAATTTCAGAAATTTTCGACATAAAGCACAGGAATTAAGCATTAAAAAGGGTGCTATTCCCACATACATTAACATCCATACAAAAAACCTTCGAATTTTTTTGCATTTCTCGACGTTTCAAGGTCCCGAGTCCATCTTGGGGGTCGTTTTTTGACCAGTCACCATACTTTCCCTCATATTTAACAGCTGAAAATGCAATAATAAGTATTAAGAATACGATTTATATACTGTATTATTATACATGTAATAATGTAATAATCTAAATTTAAAATTAAAATTAAATGTATTCATTCAATAATAATCTAATTGAATGTATTCATTCATTAATAATCTAAATTTAAAATTAAACATAGGAAATTATTAAATTGATTAGTTGCATATAAAATAAATGTTTTATATAAATATAAAGATGATAAACTAAATATAGCATGTATTTTGTTTAATTTTATATACCAAAATTCAATGTTTAATTATGTATAAACGTAGAATGCTTACATGTCTCAATGTTTTAATATAAGAAAAGGGAAGAACTTTCTTAATATATTCATTCAATTCCACACGATATTTTTGAAAATAGAAGATTGTACACTATATCATTAATTTGCATTATCATCACAGGCAGTAAAATCTTTAGACACCAGTTTCAAGGGATTTAGGTTTAAGTCTGATTGGATTGTCATAAATTTTTATGGATAGTATGACTCAGATATGAAGGGCCTCTCTCTTTCTACAGGACAGAGGAGAGGGAGGGACCTTAGGTTGAAATTTGTAATTTCAAGTGAGCGCATAATGGAAGGGAAAGAGAAAGAAGAAAACGGATACAAGACCAGAAAAGAAACTTTATATGTTTTATGTAATAGTTATAGAATGCAATAAAGGATCTAGAAATCTGAAGGAGTGCAGGAAGGAAACAATGTGTATGCGCCTTACAAAAGTTTTTATTACGTGAGGTACCCGGTTTTACGCGGGAAAACCCCCAGAAGGGGAGTGAAATGCACTCCGAGCATCCTCTAAATCTGCCGGATACAATGTTTATTGTATATATTATTAATAAAACATGCAAAAATAAGTTTTACTTTTTATATTTAAAATTTCATTCTAAAAAATATCCAACTTTTGAAATATGGGGCATATTTGTCAACTTTGCCTAGGGTGCAAAATAACCTGGCACTGCCTGTAATTTTCACTCTTGAGTATTACTGTCACAGTTGCCAACTCATAGATAAGCTTTCCACTATTTAAAACTCCAGTTCCTACTAAATTTGAACAGATTTCCATCATACTGAGTCTACGGGTGCGTTTACTTCTGAGCTAATAGTGCTACTTCCGAACATCGGAAGTGACGTCATTAGCATGTGTATTCGTGCTTACATGTCCAGTTCGAAAGTAAATGCGAATGCTAAAGAGAAATATGGCGGTTTCCTGCAAATAATATTGTCAAAGCTGCTATTTTAAATGTTACGTTACAGATATAACTACTTGATTCCGAATCGGACGAGGATGATTTTATTGTGGATATAATTGTAGAAAAATGAAAAAATAAAAAAGAAAAGTAAGGTAAAATAAAAAAGATAGAAACTTTTATTGAAGAGACTCTACCTTTTTATAAGCCAACCGATTTTAAACAACCTTAGACTTACAAGAGAATGTTTTGAAATTCTCCTCTAAAAAATAAGCCCAATTATAGACACCGAAAAATTACTTCCTCTGGAAGACGACCCGTGTCTCCTCAAAAGCAGCTTTTACGCTGTCTATGGACATTGGCAAATCAAGAATCATTCAGGTTTGTTTATACGAAGTAATATATGAAATTAGATGCAGTTTATAAGAGAATAGTAGATTATACATACATATAATACATATTTAAAGCAATTGTTTTACCCAGTGAATGGATGTGACGTTGTTTTGTTGTGGTGTAACTAAACTGAGTTCAAAATTAACAAATAATTGATATTAAATACAAAACACTTTTTTTTTTCTTTCTTTCTTTTCTCTAAGGGTATTGGCGATCGTTTTAATATGTTTAGACGGACTGCGTGGAATATTTTAAATAAAGTTGTTAATTCTTTCTTACAAGTTAGTGTTAAATGAAAATGAAAAATGATCTCTTGGCCATCACACAGCAGGATGATGTAAGAATAATGGAATTTTTTATACCCAATCTGGTTTTCCTGGAATTAGAGGCTCTATTGATGAAAAGCATATGGCTATTAAGACATCAACTGAAGAAGCAGTAGCCTATTTCAATAGAAATAAGTATTACTCTGTCATCATATAAGTTTAGTTTGTAATGAAAAAATGGTATTCAAATGATACAATTTCTTGAGAAGTCATTTCCCATATGTAAGTGAAAATTCATTCAAGTATACAAACTTATGTAATTTTGGATTATTATTAATGCTGTTCATTTCTTTACGATTTATTTAATGCTCTGAACATAACATTTCTGAAGATTCCAAATGCGTATTAGGTAAACCTCACTTTTAATCATAAACAATGAATCGAACTTAATTTTTTTCACATTAATTAACTCTGTTTATGAAAAAAGTCATCTAAAGCTATTGAACCTTACAATGAAAAAAAAATCATTGTAAACATTTTACACAACAAATAATTGAAATTTACCAATAAAAATACTTTCTGCCGTTTATTTTTCGAAAACTAATTCCATTTTTAGTACTTTGTACAGAAAGTAATTTTTTCATGAGAGCAGCCATATTGAATTAGCGCAAAGCTCGACAACGAACTAGCTAGCACTCCGAGCTTACCAATTTCGCTAAACATGACGTCACATAGCTCTAAAGTAAACGCCAATGAGCGTGGCACTCGGACGAAAGTATACAGGCTGAGCGTGCTGATAGTAAAATTAGCTCAGAAGTAAACGCACCCTAAGTTTGAACAGTTGAATTTAGGCATGATATCGAAAATTGTTGCATTTGTCTGTTATAAAATACTGTAATCTTATAAAATAATACTGTATAAATATTGATATAAAAATCAGTACCTGAAATTCCCATAAAAAATAGTGTACAATGACATTCCATTAACCGGTTAACCGATGTAGTGCTGAGTTATCAAATATGCCGCCTTATTGAATGATGGAAATTTTTCTGGTTTTTTTCCCTCCTGGACACAGTGTGTAAAACTGTACAAATCTGTCTTTTATGGTTGTTTAACATTTGTCCATAGATGTATTCAGACCTTATGGATAGTGTGTGTGAGTGAGTTTTTTTTGCATTTCTGTAACTTAATTTAAAGAGATTTATTATTCATTCAAACCAAAATAGTGTTTCTAAATGATACTGCAGATACTGTTAAAAAAGATGTAAGAATTCATCTGGAAAATGGTGTTTTATTTAAGAAATTGGTTAAACTAAATTTTAATATTTATTTTAAAAATTTGTTAAGAGTATTTATAATATCATATAAATGATATGAAAAGCATTAATGTGAACTTTAAATTGTGTTGTATGATTTTACTGAAAATAAACTCAGAAAATAATTGTGCATTAATAAAATGGATGAATATTGTTCAATAACATCATTTTTTATAGTTAAAATATATAATAGTAATTTTGAAGTTAAATTGTGGTAAATTATACAAGCATATTAAAAATTTGTAATGTTAATTTCTTATTTTAGATTCTAGTACAGAAGCATATACTGATGCCACAGGAATTGATTTGCAACAATTCATTATTGATACTTTACATAAAAATCATAAAGACCGAATAATGCTAATGAAATTAGAACAAGATTTTATAACATTTATTAGAGATGATTCGTAAGTATATTTACAAACTATTTAAACTATTATTATGTTCTATTGTTACATTGTTTTACTTTTAATTTTAATTTTTTGTGTTTGTTTATTTCTATTTTATATGTGGGTTTGTTGTATGTGAGATGGATGTATTAAGCTCAAACAGTGTAAGACTGGAATAAAATATGTCATAAAAAACACAAACCTATGAACATTATAAATGAAATTCCAATATAGCTTAATGCAAATAAAATACAAACGTTTTTGATCTACATAGGAGATCATCTTTAGGGTAATGTTTTCCAAAATGAAATGTGAGGAAAGGAACATTTTAAAATTATTTGAAAACACTCAAATTCATAAATAATGCACAAGTGTTCATAATGTAATAGAAAATAACATAAATTCTGCAATACAAAATAAAATATACATATGAACAAGAATTTTTTTTTAATAAGAATAAACAAGAAACAAGAATATAAATTTTTGTTTTATATCGACTGTCATTGTTGGTATAAAGATTGCCATGCACAAGATAATTGTTTTTCATTTTTGAAATTGATGTAAAAGCCTTTCTTTTCAGATTTGAATATCTCGATAGCTTGGTTTGGTCGTCATGTTTAGATCGTCATATAAAGGAAGCTTTGTCTAGGTTGGCTTGAACATTGTAGTCTATTGTGTACCTGGCTAGGGCAGTGTTGTATTTTCTTTTATCATATCATGTCTGTGTTCCACAAGCCTTATTCTGAGTGATTGCATGGGAGCACTGATGTACTCAAGATTGCACTTGAATCTGTTGTCTCTCAACGGAATCCTATAAACTCCTGGTGCTCTAAGCATATCGGTATTGTTCTTTCCATTTCTGAGGATATTATATATGTAGTAGAAACATGTTTATAAGTTAATCTATCACCTTTCTGACAAGCAACTTCTTTATATAAGCTTATGTTGTGGTTATAATTTAAAATGATGCGGCACATATTGTGTGTGTTCCCAGTCTGCAATATATTGTTAGTGGATGTAGAATGAGTATCCCTTATATTTGGAATATGCATTAGCTAATTTACAAATTAGGTTTTTTGCCATGCTTTATAGCTATATCCTCCAGATGTTTTAGTTCTTATAACGTGTCTTTGTAATTTGTGCAGTGAGTAAAAGCATGTTTAGTTAGAGATTGAAATGCAGCTATTTTGTAGACATATGGGTCATGGGAGTTTGCAGATATAAATAATGGAAGGTGTGATGATTTATATAATAAATTTGTCTATGGATAAATCCATTTATAATGCTGATATTGAGATCCAAAAAGTGTGCCCTTGAATTGCTGGCTTGGTCTAATTGTATGGAAAGCCCATATGGATTGTTATTCATTGTTCTATGAAGCCTTCTATATTTGGTGTTGTTTTTCATATTATAAAAATATCGTCGATGTACCTTCTGTAAATGAGAATTCTAGGAAGGAATGAAGGTAAGATCATTTTTTCTAATAATCTAATGACCATCTCACAAAGGTCCCCAATAGGGGGCTGCCCACGTTTTTTAATCATATTTAGAAAGAAATAGCATGACATATGTTCTAATTCTAGGATATGTTTGGGATGTGCTGGTTCATTATCTATATGTAACAAAAAATCTCTACATGCGCAAAAACATGATTGTAATGTAATGTACTATTTTTAATTTGTTGCTCTACAACGATATTTTTCTTAGAGCCGGGACCTAACGGGTACTTTACGCAGGTTCGCGTTTGTTAGTTGCCAGGCCTGGACTTTTAGCGTGCACCGAAATAAATTAAGGACAAAGTTAGTCACAAAAAAATCTCAATAATAAATGTTTAATCAAGTTTAACCAATACTATGTACAAGATTTATAAACAAACAACAAATTTATTAATCAAAATCAAATCACAAATCAACTCGACAAACTTAAGTCTTATTCTAACTTAGGACTATTCCCCTTGGAATTCCGACAAAACAAAATCCAATTCTTAACTTAGATACAAATTCTCTTATAACTATCAATCCTAACCGTCACCTCAATTAATACTCGGAACCTTTTCTTCTACTCAAGACTTTCCTATTTCCAAATCACCAAAATCGAACCTTCAATCTCCTACTAGGATTTCCTATTCGACACCTATTCACTGCTACCAGCAGACCAACGCTTTCGGTTCAGGAGCTCACCTCTCTGTCTTCACTTGAGCTACTGTACTTATAGTATGAGGTGACGTCACAGTTCTACTGTAGCCACTCCCCTCATTTACATATCTACACGTAACATTGTTTTCTCTTCGTTATCTGGTAGCTTATTTCTCGACAATACTTTGTTAACCTTTTACAGCATTTCTTTAACAATTATCGGGATGTTTTGTTAAGGTTACACAAGTTCCTAGAAAGTCTATTGGGGTGTCCCCCCCTTCAGTGCGGACTTACAATTCTGCCGCTCGGGCGTGCACGTGAGTGCAATGCTAGCTATGGCGCTATCGTTTCGTCGTCGGTGAGTTGGTTAATCTTTTATCTTCTCGTTTTTGAACGTTAGGGTGGTGGGTGAGGAAACCTTCGTCCTAACCAAACATAAGCCCCAAACAAAAATATAATAAAGCAAAGTAAAAGTAAACTAAAAATAAAGCACGGACTTGGTTCCTTACAGTAAGTGAATGGAAGGTTATAACAATATAAAGTCTAATGTTGTAATATAAACATTTTGTTACATGGAGTAGTTGCAATTCATTAATAAGTTAATCTGAGTTACTAATTTAAAAACTTACAGCTTCTCCATGTCCTTTGAGTAAATTGTGTATTTGCTTTTCTAAAAGCCTAGTAGGCAATTTAGCCTTATTAACAATGGGTCATATAGTGTTGTCTGTCTTGTGGTTTTTGCAAACACAAATAGTTTAGGGGTATCAGGAGAAGTCATAACTGTGCAGTCAATTTTTAATTTTTTGGCACATGCTGTATGTGTGAGTCTAATGATGCATCTATGCAATTTGTCAATGTAATTATTTTCAATCTGTTCACTGCAGGTCTCTGATATATTGGTTTAAAAGGCAATGTTTGTATTTTATCTGCATTAAACTATACTGGAATTTCATTTATAAGGTTCATATGTTTGCATTTTTTATGTATTAAGCTCATCCAAGCCTTACTTTATGTATTCAGAAATAAAATAAATGTAATTATTAATAAAATAAAGATATTGTGAAAATATTGATACATAGGAAATTTTTGCCAGCAATTTTAAGTGCAAAGATTATACTGTTAAGATGTAAATATTTCTCAAAAATAACAATTGAACTTGGCATTATATTCAAAGGGATGATAAAAATGCTTAATTTTGGAAACCAAGTGAATTTTTTTTATTCAGAAACAGTTTTGTTTTTTATATGAACATCATCAGCTGTGAAAATTATCATGTGCATTAGAATAAATACATTCAAAAGATAGAATTTCTTTACATTCAAACTTTTTCAAGTTTTAAAATTACAGGAAAAGTTATAATTATACAAAAAAATTAATAAAGTGAAATTAATATAGAAAATAAATAAATGTTATACTGTGTTTAATTCAATTTTGTTTATTTTCTTATAACTTATTATGAAACAGTAATGTAAAACTGACATGTTTTCACTCATATAATTGATATTTCTAAATTAAAATAAAATTAGTGTTGAAAATTTTTTGATATTATTAATTTTATTAAGATAAATGCTTAAAAAGTATATTTTATTTGTTTAATTTTAAATGAAACATTTTAATGAATACAAGATAAATTTGTGTATATTTGTATTTATAGACGATTATCTTATAAATTTCCTCAAATGAGTTCCTATAATCGAATGCTAGTCCATAGAACAGCTGCTTTCTTTGGTCTGGAGCACAATGTGGATCATAGTGGTACTGCAATTATTGTAAATAAATGTAAAAACACAAGAATGTAAGTAATTATAAATTTGAAATGTTTTTAATTTGAAAAGTATAATTCTGTTTTTGAGTGATGATAATCTGATTGATAATCATTAAAACATGATATAGTAGATTCTGTTTTAATATAATCACTTTGGGACTTGCCTATACCAGTAACAATATCCAAATGTTGACAATAAGTGAGAGAAGTAGATAAGATTACAGTTAGTGGAAATTTTAGTTTAATTGACTCTGTTGTTAAAAGTATATGTTAAAACAATTAAAATTTATATAACATGAAGATTTATTACATATAATTATTATTATTTATTAATTAATATGTGATTCATCCAATATTGTTTGCCTGCTATCATCTTTAACAATGACTAGTAATAGAGTTCTATCAAATGAGCTGAGCTACAGCTCAGAATTTTTACAGTCAGCTTGTGTCCAGAATTGCAGATCAGTTCATAGCTCAGTTCAGCTCTGGTCCATGAGGTTTGTAATTCAAGGTAATTTCTCAGTCCCATCCATTTCAAATTATTAGGACTCCATTGTATATGTTTGGCTAGAAATGATTATCATTATTTGTATCAATTTAAATATTACCCTTAATTAATTACTTTTAATGATTTTCTTAATCTAAAAATTGTTTACAGTTCAATTGCTTAATGCTCAAGTAGTATTTATTTGAATGCTTTCATTTTAATAACAAGATAAATGAAAACATATCCAACATACTGTCTCTCTCTTATTAACTTATTACAGATGCAATTTAATTTCAAAAATGGGCTTTGCTGCGACACATTCCAGCTCAGCTCTCAGCTCTGGTTACAGTTCTCCTGTCAAGACCTCAGCTCAGCTCAGCTCAGTATTTCCTAATATCTGACCTGAGCTTTGCCATTTATGCTATTGCTTTTTGAAATCTATATTTAAAAAAATTGACTTGAAACATTTTTTTGTATACAAATCATGTGCGTTAGAATAATTATAATTAAATTAAATAATTAATAATTAAAAGTGTGTATAAGCAACATAAGTTTTCTGTAGCAATTATGGGAACTTTTAGAAAGATATAATGCAGTTGTAAAAAGCCGTTATTAAAATATTTATGAATATATATTTGATTAAAATAACTCAGTTCATCTGTAGAAGTCTGGCAGTCCAAGTCAAGTTTGAGCTACACTGGAGGATTCAGTTGCAGGAAGATTAGATGATCTGTTCAACAAAAAATTAATCTTTGATAATTTTTTATGAACTGAGGTTTCAAGTAAGCTGGAAACTGGGAAATCTCAGGGAATTTCACTTGTAGAAAATAATCTGGGAAATCTCCAAGATTATTCCTAAAGTCAAGAAAAATGTAGAGTTTTACAATTTCAACATTGTGCCAAAGCAAAATTTTCACTGCAGTCTCAGACTTTGAATATGAATGACGATTTGATGGGTGCCATAGAGTTTCCAGTATATTTTAAATTTCACTACATAGCAATATTTTTATTACTCTGGCAATGATGATGATTGCCATAGATTCACATGATCATAATGTTGTTTTGGCAGTGCTTATGTAAGTAATCAAAATGTAAATATAGCCATGTATTATTTGCCTTACTTATATCCAGTTTGTGTTACCATAACTGTTCAGGTTCAGGGCTTTAGTAAATAATGCCATCCTTGATGGACTATGGAAATGTATATCATGACATGCTGCAGTAGAAGAGCACAATGATTTTAATTCTCCAGACAATACTTCAAAAATTTAGTTACACTGGTTGATTTCCAAATGTTTTTAAATAAATAAAAAAATTATTTGTAACTAATGTAGTTTAAGTTTACATTACTTAAACTACAACACAAATGTGATGTCATTCAATTGTTTAATTGGTTACATCATGATCCAATAATATGTCAGAGAGAAAAACTGCTTCCTCTAGAAAAACTTGGAAAAATTTTATTTTTAGTTTCATTTGCAACCATGGAACTTTCAATAAAAAGCAGCAGCAGCTGACTATATAAGCATGTATTTGATACATAAGCTCTCTGCACTGAAAGGCTAATAGGAGGAAATTTTTTGAAAAAGAATTATTCAAGGAACAGTTATTTGTATTAAAAAATCACTAGTCTTTTACCAGCCATTTGTTGCTAGCTGAGCTAACCCAATAGTTTGGATTATTTTATGATAATGAACAAACCTTGCATGCCATCTCTTGGAAACATTTAATAATTATTCATACACTTGAAATTTTAAATAAATTGGATTTTACTATTTTATTTTTGAATTTAAGCAGTTAAATGTACTGTGTTAAAAATACATTTTTAAATTAAATTCTTAGACTACAAATTTTCCTCTTTTTTAATAAATTCCAATTATTTACAGACCTGATTTTAAGTTTAGTGATCATATTAGAGATGATTTAGTTCAAGACGAACCAAAGAAATCTATTTTGAAGCGAGATAATTCATCATTTGAAGATGGAAGAGAGGTGTTTTAAAATTTTTTTATGCATTATAAAATTTAATATTAAAAATTTTTTAAATTACAATATTCATATACAGTAAGTTTAATTAAATTTTGTCATTTATAATGATTTAAAAATATCTGAATTTATGATCTGAATATGAAGCTATCTTAAATATCTGAATTTTATTGGAATTAGTTTGTATTCAATAATAATAAATTAACAATAATCAGTAAAAAATTTTATTTTATTTGCCTACAGTTTTGTACTTGATTTTTTCTGTAAAGGCATAGAAAAAGCAGTATTTTAAAAAATTATATTAAATTATAATTATTAAAATTAATAAAAAAAAGTTTTAATAAAAGGTTAAATTTTTTATATTTATGAAATGAAATGTTTAATTAATTTTGTAAATCTTTTATTTATTTAATAATAATTGAAATAAGTTATTTTTACATTTCAAAATATTTTTTAATCCATTAATTTACAAAATTACTTAATGAATGTAGTTTTTTTTAAAATAATAATTAGCTTTGCCATTCGATAAAGATAATGCTAATGCTAGCCACATAATCTGTAGGGTTCTGATACTTCATGTTAAATCCAGGGCTATGGAGTCTGAGTTGGAGTCGTCAAAAATCCCCCCAACTCCAACTCTTTATTATTTTCCCAATTTGTTATGTATATAAAAAACGAAAAAGTATTTGAATCATGTCACATTTGACCCTTCAAGTTTCTTGCAAATCTATACATTTGGAGATCTCTCGAACCCAAAAAATGTCAAATAAAGGGAAAAATTCATGCGTGTGCATATGTTGGCATCTAATTTGTTTAATTTCTTTATTCTGTTTTGAATTAAACAATATCTCAGAATGAGTAAAGTTTAAGAAACAAAATTTGGCACAGTAGCATATGTATAAATTAATGCTATTAAATTTTGGTTCTTAATTAAAGGTTGACAGAGACATAGAAGGGGTCATGTGTCATATCTCCAGTGTGGTTGGACTTAATGAATACAGTAGAGCGTCGTTTATCGGAATCAGTTGGAGACTGGGGTTGTTCAGATAACCGATTATGTACGAAAAAATATATTAACCTATTCCATGTTGAAATTTTTCTTTGTTGCATGTCACTTTGTGTTGAATTTTTGTCGATGTTAAGCCTAACAAAAATTTTTATAATAATAATTGTGGCTATTGTATCGTAAAAAATTATTTCTTTATTTTGTACAAACAAAGTAAATATATTGAAAAATATAAAAACAAAAAAAAATATACTTTAGAAGATAATTTAGTAGCAAAAGCATTTGATTCAGCATGACATACATCTCGACACACAGTCCTCAGAAAAACACCACACAAAAGTGCCAGTGCTGCCAGCTAAAACACACACACCAACAAAATAAAATATTGGAGTAGCCCAAGACATAGCCAAAGGTTGCAGTGCCACAGCACTAGCGGAAATTTAAATTTGCCGACTAGAACGCTTTTGGTTGACCGGCTTTCGGATAAACGACTCTCTACTGTGTTTTACTTTTTATTAGCAATCACAATCTTATAATATAATCAAGATGGATTAATAATAATAATAAGCTCAGAGTTCAAACATTTAGAAATTGAAAGTTGAAATTTAGTACACAGGATGTCATAAGAACATACACTAAGAAGGGATTTTTCAAAATTTTCTCACTGGGGACGAGGGAGAAGGTTAAGGATCACCCCAAAGAACTCTGTTTCTACTGTACTATTTTAGATGCAATTTTTTGCATTTTTTGCAAAAAATCAAACATTCCTTTAGACCCATCTAAAAATTCTCTAATTAGACTCAGAAGAGGGGGGACCTAATTCTTGCACCCAGTGAAAATGGGTAAGATTGGTTATAATCTCAATCTTCATTATTGTTACTTTCTGCCCAAGCAACATCTGGCTAATCTGCTAGTTTTTTTTATAAAACTTGTTTCTACCCTCAAATTAAGCTTGAGTTCTAATATGAGTACGACAGAAAAGGAAATCTTACAAAATTTGAAGATGATATTTACTATGCACTAGAAAAAATAAATCACATTGACCATTCTTCAAGTTTAGATGTTAAAACTGCAATACTACACTATCCAGACATTATCCTCCAAGATAGAGCATTGATTGTCACAGCATTGCCACCAACCAAGTTTCAGTAGAGCATTTATTTTTCACTCTTAAAATTATTAAATATGATTTAAGAGCTTCAGTGAATCCTGATTTAATAGAAGTGATTTTTTTTTTTTTTGTAAGGAGTAATTCAATTTATAACAGATGAAAAATAAAAAATTAATCAACATGGCAAAATAAGCAATCTTTTTCTTTACCAGTCTAAATGTTATATTTCTCATTCTTGACTTAGTTTAATGTATCTGTATACTTATATATTACCCAATATACTCGTATATTATGTACAACATTTTTATTAAACTAATTTCTTTGTGTACGAATGTATTTACTATTTTTATTCATACATACTTACCAAATACCATTGCCATCATCAAACAAGTCAATAAATGTGAATTTATATATTCAGTAGATGTGTCAAATTTTAATGTTTAATTAGTTTTTTTAAATCATTTTATTTNTATTCATACATGCTTACCAAATACCATTGCCACCATCAAACAAGTCAATAAATGTGAATTTATATATTCAGAAAGATGTGTCAATTTTAATGTTTAATTAACTTTTAAAAATAGTTTTATTTTGTATTTTTAAAAAATAATCAGAATTGTCGTCATTATTACTTTTCCTGCAGTTATATAGTATAGACCTATAATAAAGGAAAAGAAAGATCAGTCGAAAATGACCTTCCCAGATGTTTACTCTTTTGGACTCAGGAAGCCTTGAAACATAGAGAAGTGCAAAAGCATTCAGGGTTTTTTCTGTACACACACATGTTAGAATGTGTACCAACCAATTTAGTTCAACCATTTTGAAGCTTAATAATTCCTGTGTTAAACCATCTGACTCTGATTCAAAATCGTGCCTCTCATACAGTCTAACATTCATACATACAGAAAAAAAACCCAAATCTTTTGCATATCTCGATATTTCCAAAGATGCAAAAAATTTAGGGTGGGATCATTTTTTGACTGATCGCTTCACTTTTCCTCTGTTATATATAACAGCCAGAAAAGTCAAAATTGTCAAATACATATTTATATATTGACTATGTCATTACTTAGAGGAGTATTTTAGCTTTGGAATGAAAAAGTTTCTACATTCTATCCTTATTAGAACTATATTTATTGAAGCTTATATTCTGAGGTTATGTGATAATGTCAGAATTTTCAGCCTACTTTGTTAACAAGTCTGCCCCTGGCTGGAGTCGAATGGTAAGGAAAAATTGGAGTCATGTAAAAATCTACTGACTCCACAGCCCTGGTTAAATCACTCAAAATTACTTTTAACTTATATTCATAGTATTTATTGTTAAGCTCAGTTTATTTCAATATTTTTAAGTTAATACTTAAAGAACAATTTATTTAAGTTTTATATATAAATTCTTCTCATAATTTAGGTTATTAAATTTATTTGGTGATAAACAAAATTAATTTTAGATTAAAACTATATCTTCTCATTTTAGAAAATGAGTGATAAACAGTTTTCAGACAGTAGAAGAAGCAAATCATTTGAGGAACGTGAAGAGGAATATCAGAAAGCAAAAGCGAGAATTTTTAATCGAGGTGTATGTAGTTTTTATTGTGAAAAATTTTATGATTTTAAGCATTTATTTAATTTTTAAGTGCTAAACTATATTTTAATTTAAAAATATTCAGTTGTAATTTCAATTTTATTATATTAATATAATAGAGAACAATGCAAATATAACTGATATATTTCAGAATGCTGTCCTATCTACAAAATGCTGTTAAGATTCATATTTTATGCTAAATTACATAGGATTTGATGCCATTTAAACGTAGACAGTTGCAATGGGGATGTGGACTATAGCTCACAGAACTAATAAGCAATTTAATTCTCTAAGCATGATTAAAAACTTATAACTAACACCAGAAAAACTGTAAGAACACAAATTTGAAAACATGATACATGATACTTTGAGAGAAATGGTATATTTGGATAGCAATGGAATCTTTTGAGTATAAAATACATTGTTCAATTCAGCAACAATCTTGTATTTTTACACATATCCAGTATCAGTTTGATTCTTGATATCCTACAAGATCAATACATTCTGTCAAGATACAGATTGTCTGAAGCTAAAATATTCAAGCTGGAATTGCTACTATAAATCAACATCCTGACTTGTGCTGATTATTTGACATTTCTGAATACCATGTAAGGTGAATTGTAACTGAAGGAATCATCTTATGGATGTTATTCTGTCAAAGTAATAATATTGCATACTTTATATATATCTAGACTAGTGACTGCAAATTTACCGGGTATTATATTACTGGTAATTTAGTAATTATATTTGGGATTACCAGTTTATTAACAAATGATTTAAAACAAAACTGAATTACTGACGGAATTATTGGAGAACCATTTATTTTCAAGTTTACTATCAATTTAGACAAACAACATTCTTGTAATAGCAATTATGATGACATAATGGTCATTGAAATAATGCTGATAATTAATTATGTGTTTCTTTATTTTGAAAGTAGGCTCTTAAAAAAATGACACATTTAGGGTCTCATTGTCTAATCTAAATCTAATTTTTGTACAAATGGCAGCTGCATTAGAAAAAGCTCTCTTAGAATCAATACTAGTTAGACATACTGTCATTAGAGCATTGAAAACCTTTTTAAGATATGTTCCTTGTATTTTTTGCTCTAAGAAATAATTCATTTCTTTCTTAACTATATCTTTCACACTTTTAAACTTACTTATATTACTGTTATCAGTGTTGTTTTATGTTTAATGAATAAGTCCATTTTCTCTTTCATTGTTAAATTTGACTTTTCTATTGTGCACTTTGTTCTCATGTCAATGTGAGAAGTTGGTGTGGTAAGCAATGAACACCTCTTACTAAAATCTGAGCCTGAACTAATTTCAGTGACATCCGCAAGTCATGATTCGTTTTCATTTTCTGATAAGTGCTTGATTGTTTCTACATTCCTATTCAAAATTATATTTTTGTTAACGTTATTGGATATTTTGTGTGACTTATATTTGTTCAATTTTTCTGAGTTACTTTCCTGTATTATACTCCAAAAACAGGTCTTGATTTTGTAGTATAATACAAGGAATCCAGTTATAAAAAAACTAGAAAATTCCTTTTAATAATCTTAAATTACAAATGGAATGATCTATCACCACCTGCACTGTTTTCTTGCTATGGTATGGGGAAGACAAAAGAAATCTCCATCCCACGGATATTTCCTGTGAGAATTTTAGGAAAATAAATATCAAGTTAATTAAGAGGTTTTTTAAACTGAAATACCGGTAAAAAAATTAATTACTGGTAAGTTTACCAGGATTATAATTTTCCTATTTACCGGTAAACTGGTTACTGGTAATGTCTAATCTAGACTGTTTCATTTCATTCCTTTCTTGATGTATAAAATAATTTTTTATTTCTGTCAAAATAAATTAGTTGACTATATATACTGCTTACTATGTGAAAAAGTAATAAAATTAGAAAAAATTTTATATTTTATTTTAAAGCAAAATTGTTCACAATATTTGAAATTATTTTCAAATACTTTCAAATATTATGAAAAATTTAAATAAAAATAAAATAAAAATAGTTATTTTATTAGTAATTTAATATTAATATAATTTTATAATAATATTTTACAATATTTTAAGTCAAATAAACAATTTTTATTGAAGATTTTGAAATACAAAACTATATCATACTTTTTATAGAGAAATATGATTTTAATAATTTTTATATTGCTGAAAATTACTGAAATGATTTTAATTTCTTACAGGAACAGAATTTTATTCAGTCGGAAAGCATAGTAATCCTAAGTCATAATCAAGAGGATTCTTTAGAAAATGAATGTCATGTTTGGGTTAAAAATGAAAATGATAATCTAAAACATTCAGCACAAAACTCTAATTTTGCAGATAATGATATTATTGAGGTAATGTTTTATTTTTTATGTTATAGATATTGCAATGAGCAAATAAAATATTAAATTATAATAAGCCTTTAAAGAGCCAATGCTGTAATTTTTATAGTGAAATGAAAGATTATTCATATTATTTTATTAGAAAAAGTAAAAGTATAAAAGCATGAAAATTTTTTATTTAAAATATACAATAATTTTATCTTCGTTATTTTAGGCTTCCTCAGATTGAAAAATTTTCAAAACACATTCAAATATAAATTTAAACAAGATCAAATAGAATACATTCAATAAAATAATAAATGCAGATTTATGTAGAATACAAGATAGAATTTAATTTATGCATAACAATTTAATTTGATCGGATGTATATTTATCTTTAAAAAGTATAAAATACAGGAGCTTCCCTACTTACACACTTTTAGACTTACAAACAATTTGACCATACATCTAAAATTTAAATTTCCTGCAGATTCTGAAGTTCTCATGCTACTCATGGGGTGCATTGAAGTCAGTTTTTGACCAATAATAAATTTTTAATAAATAATTTATGTGGATTTATTTTTATTACATATTGTCATTTTTCATATTTACATGAATTCTGGCATTCCATCACTGCTTATGAGGTGGTTGCAATTTTTATAAACTTTTACAATGAGTGCTTTGAAAATGCATTCAAAATGTAATAGTAAATATAACAGTGGAAATAAATGCAAGATATGTTGCTCTATTATCCCAGAAACTAAACTAAACATTATAAAATTAAGTGCGTTAGGTGAAAAAAAAAACTGCATTTGAAATAACTGCTACTAAGTTGTAATGAGTGGGTAAATGAACATAATGCATTATATTAAGTACTGTACATTGAAGGATCAAACACTAACAATACACAATTATTCTGTGTACAAATATACCTTCTAGGTTAGTTTTGAACTTCTGACAAAACCTTGAACCTAACTTGTTCATAAGTAAGAGAGCACCTGTAATTTATTTTTATACTACTAACAGAAGAAGAAAATTAACAGGACATAAATTTAATGTACAATCATAGTCAATCGTAAACTAAAAGGAATCAAATTAGAGGCATGAGAGACAATAAGAGACAGGTAGTGGATGAAATTAAAAATGCATTATGGATATACTGTTGATCAGTATGCATATATATGGGAAGAAAGTAGAAGGATGATGATTGACAGTCTGCAATGATTAATAGTAGACACACACATGATGCTGAGATAATTGACAATATATCAATAAAATTTAGGATGAATGTACTCAATATTAACAAATGCAAAATAAAACTAGTTGATTTTACACAACTGTAGAGAGAGAACTACAGACATTAGTTGCTTTACGTATGAAGTTGAGTTATTACGGAATAAAAAAATAATAATTGCATTTTTTGTTAACAAATGTTTTGTTTCAAACAAGATATGTAAGAGAGTTGAGATTCTTTAAAAACTATTTTATTTTTTCTACAATTTCTGAGATTTTCCAATAAAACAATATTCATTTAAAATTAGCTGGACCAGTTTATGAGTACTTGTTTCTATTTTGTATTCATTACTATATGCACAAAGCATTTTATTAATCAAATCTAAATATTCTGACAATCATATCCCTTTGCAATGTAATTTTGTATATTCCAAAAACAGGAACCAGATGATAAAAAATTAAATGGTTCTTTCTTTTGGTTTGGTGAAGGAATATTCTTAAAACAACTTTAAAAAATATTTGGAATGCTTTTAAAAAACTGATTTTTTTAACTGATTTTCCCGTAATACTTAAAAGCACCTAAACATCGCATACACTTCAAATGTAAATGACTTTTCCTTTTTGATTGAATGATAATGGATAGTCTTTCATTTTACTGTGAATAATACAATGTATGCATAATACCCTTTTGAATTTTTGAAATAAATTGGAAAAGTTTCAATTATCATAATTACTCTAAAATTAAAGATGAATAATATAATAATGATTTCCTAATATAAATAAAATATTGATTTTCTGTATTGATAACTAAGAAATCAATATATTCTAAAAAAGATAATTGTTCTTTGATATTCAAATTCATACAATGAAAAAATAATTATTATATATATATATAATAATAATAATAATTTATTTAATTTGAATATTTTTATGTGTACTCTCTGAATGACATTACAATTATAATTGAAATTTTTATAAATTGGCAATTTAAAAAAATTGATAAGAAGACATATAAAAGTTTTGAATATAAAAAAAATTACATGGAATAATAAATGCAAAATTGAGAATACATTCAAACTTCAGGTTTCAAACTTAATTTGTTCCTGAAGTTGTTTGAAAACTGATTTGTTTTAAAACTGGAACAAATTTTCCCATAAGAAATAATATAAAATATATAATCCATTCCCTAACCCAAAACAAAACTTTTTTTTTACCTTTTTATCTGTATTTCATGTATAAAAATGCCTATAAAGGCAATATAATTTTATATTATCTATATCTATATTCATTCTATATATTTATATTAAAAGCAAAATATTCCATCACTTCCAATTGAAACTAACACTTTACAAAGAAGTGCTATAAATAGAGACTCAACTCTGCCTGAATGAAATACAGTAAAGTCAAACCTCAGTTTATGCACTTAATTTGTTCCTAAGAGTTGTTCATAAATCAATTTGTTCTCAAACCAAAACAAATTTTCCCATAAGAAACAATGTAAAGTGGATTAATTCGTTTCCAACTCCCAAGACAATATCTTTTTAGCTGTATTTTATCCATAAAAATGCCTACAAATGCAACATAATATTATATTTTAACATACTAACTGAATAATGAATAAAGAAAATTTCATTCATCCTTATCTGTGCCAAGAAATCTTGTTGGCACAACTGGAGAGGAGGTGGAAGGAAAGGGATGTTATTTCTTGAAATGGGAGTTTCCCTCCATAATAACGTCTGGTAACTGCACTTCAGGAGTTATTTCTCTTATTTTTTGGATTTTCTGCTTCTCCTAGAAGATTCAAAGTTTATTTAACAAATTTTTCTTTTGTCTACGTTTCTCAATGTTACAGAAATGAGACATAGCATTGTCATTGAAAAAGTTAATGACACAGCTTGCTACTGCCTTACCAGGGTCATACCTTTCAACAAACTTTGCACTTTACCCCATTTTGCACACATGTCATTAATAAGAACACTAGATGCATCCTCCCTTTTGTGAACCGCAGGGGAAGTCAAGGTCAGTCACACCTCCCTGTTCTGTGTGCAACAGGTCATTAATTAAACCTGTTTACTGTCAAAATGGTTATTTTATGATAATGGTCCCGAGAGTTGGGATTCTCAAATGTCGGTCGAGTGGAGGGAGAGTATTTGGGGTCGACAATAAGGTGAAGGCTGTATACGAGTAAAGGAGTCTACCATTTTAACAAATAAAACAAGAATTTACTAAAATAAATCAAATTAACAAAACTACAACACAAATCTCGACATTAAACTGCCTAACAGCTCAAGAGAGTGTTTACATGCTTTTTCATACCTCTTTATAGGTTTCCTTGACGATTTAGTCTATGTAGGCACATAAATATCCAATAAAAAATGTCTTTGATCCAAATGAGCACAAATATAAAAGTTTGTGACTCTGGTGACGAACAGATATTGATGTTGGAGGATTGGAATTTCGGCGGGTTTGTAGATTCGACTCGATGTCGTCGGTCCGGCTTTTGATAAGAGACTCCTCCGAGAGGGGGTAAGAACTGTCTTTTATAGCTTTTTGCGGGGAAATTCCATCATGTGATTGAATGTTCTATAAGCTAAAGGTTATAGGTGTTCCAGGGACCTAAACAAGGGACGAAAGTTAGATGCTAACTATAAACTTTTGTGTAAGTCAAGCTGCAAGTTATGCGAGAACAAGAGAATGTTGATAGTTATGACAGGAAGGTTTACACATTCCCGGCTAAGATTGGTTTTTCTCCAATTTGTTACATAAACGAAAGTGAACTAATTACAATTTTTGTTAATAAAATTCTGGATCTCACACTTTCTTTTTCTTCCAAGGGCATTTCCTCAAGCATATCTTTCTACTGCTCTTTTTGAAGGAGTTTGAGTTTGTAGGTAGACAACTTAGTACCATGTAGCTTCAACTATTTGACGTCAGCATTGTCGACTTCCAGGCCCATGCTTTTGCCCAGAGATACAATGTCATCGACAACTCTAGTTGGCTCTGTCTCGAATCCCTTAAAATCTCTGTCTGCAACACAATCAAGCCAGAGGTTCCTCCAAGCTAAGTTCAAGGTCCTGCAAGTCACTTGCTACCAGGCCTTGTCAATAAGACCTAAGCAATAGAAGATATTGAAGTGGTTCTTCCAAAAGTCATGGAGTTAACTCTGAATCCATTATTTGTTCAATCCTGAAGGTGGCTATGCAATCAGCCAAAAACATTTGATTAATAAATTGTTTCTGCTGGAAAAGGTTGAAACTATTTTTATTTAAGATGTACATTTGAAATAATAATTGTTATTTTTGAAAGAGATTTTTATATATGTGAATTTTTATAAAGAACATTATTAATTTTACTGAAATAATAATGCTTATCGGATAAGGTTCTAGCTTTTAGTTCTAGTTGCAAGTATATTCAATAATTTTCAATTCAGTTTTAAATTTAAAATTAATTTTGTAATCATTTCATTTAATTTTTTGGTTGATGAAAAGTATTTCTCCAATGAAAGAACAATGTTTATTAAATTTGATATTTATGAATAACAATAGTTATGATTGGTATTTATTTTCAAAAATATTTTAAAATCAATTTAATACTTTACCTCAAATAAAACAGACTTTGAATTTAATGTGTGTATAAAATTAATCTGATATGATTTATATAACATCCTACATTATAGAGGTATACCTTGCCTTATGTCGGTAATTGGTTCCAGGAGAACCACTTAAGTCGAAAAACGACGTGAGTCGAATTTACTTGTCTCCAAATCTATTTGTCACTAGGCTAAACCATAAATTGCCAATTCCGGTTCTGTATTTTATTTATTAATGCATTTTTAATAATGTATGGTTAATAAGGATCTATTTTAAGCTTACAAACAAATAAATTTTAGTTTTTAAAATAGTACAGAAAAAAGTAATCTAAATTTACGAATGCATGTACTGTAAATACAGTACATACTTGTAAATGTATATATTTTAATATGATTTTATGTGCTTTAAACGCTTTTCTACTGATATTACGATTTCAATATTTGAATGATTTGAATCATCATCAGAAATGCTAGTATAATGTTTAAATGAGTGCCATTACTAAGAAGGTAAGTGCATAAATAAAACAAAAACAAAGTTACCATGGTTTAAGATGTTTGAGTGAATTATGGTGAATATAAATAGTGAACCTCTGAATAAGCAGTGATTGATGTATCTATAAGAAAGTATATATTAGGATGACATTTTGTTCCAAAATTTTGAAATTCTTGAAAAAATTTTACTTTTATTAAACAAGTTTATCAAAACTTTTTTTGAATTTTATACATTGATTTCAAATGTTATAATTATATATTATTTTAATTTTTTAGAATGAAGAGAAATTATTAGATTCCAGTGGCAAATCCAATGATTCATTACATCCAAATTGTGTTTCTAAACCACCTATGATGAAATCTCATAGTTTTGGGGGAATTTCAGTTTTAATTAGTGAAGCCAGTTCCACAAAAATGAATAATACAATTTCAAAAGCAGGTAAATTAATAGGTTAATAGAAGGTAAATTTATTCTGAAAATGATAAGTATATTTAAGAAGTAAAGTAATGATATAATAGAAATTAAGTATTGAATCTTGAAGAAAGAAATTTAAAAATACTTTGAAAAATAAATTCATAAAGAAGCAGCTGTGAATACGTAAGAAAGTAACAAGATAAAAGGACAAACAAACTGCAAAATTGATAAATTGACAATTATTGACATAATAATTAATAACAAAATATGAAATTATAAAATATACAAAATTAATACTAATTAAGTATGTAATCATACATAAATTGTGCACAAAAAATTAAAAAATGCTTAATGAGAAATAAAATGACCTCAATAAATTAGAGCATAAAATATACAGGGTGATTATAATTAAAGTTCTGATGTCATAGTGATCTGAAATAAGAACCACTGGTCAGAATGACTTGACATTTTGCATGAATATCTGTGAATGGAATTTTGTTTGGGAAAGAAAAGATTTAGTTTAAAAATTTACCACTAGGGAGACAATTTGTGCTTTATTACAGTGGAAAGCAATAAAAAAGTAAAGTTGTTGAGCATCTAAACAACAGATCTAAATGTGTCTATAGAAATGATGTGAGTATGATTCATGATGCTGGCTTTCAGTTTTGCTAAATTTTTATTGTGTCCATTAAACACAACATTCTTTAGATATCCTAAAACCAAAAATCACATGAGTTCAGGTCTGGTGAATGTGCTAGCCATGCTACAGGAAAGTGGCGGCTGATTATTTGATTATTTCCAAAATTCTTGCAAAGTAGCCACTTCACTGATGTTTGTGATGTGCACATCACATATAAGTAATTTGCATCTTTTGATACTGCCAGTATGCATCACAGGTCTCCCTGGTGGAAAATTTTTGAACTAAATTTTTTCTTTACCAAACAAGATTCTATTGCTTCATGGGTATTCACACAAAATGTCAAGTCATTCTGATCAGTGGTTCTTATTTTGCTGTTAAATCAAAACTTTAATTATAATCACCCTGTATTTAACTATTTGTTTTATTACAAGGGTCGTCCCAAAAGTATCCGACCTGACATAGATGGCGGTACTTGTTTGAAAAAAAAACAAATGTGTTCGAAAGTATCAACCTTATAAAGCTTAAGTTTGAAGTTTGAAGTTTTACGTTGTATAGTATTTTTTTGGCAGCCATAAATAGTGAACAATCTCAGTGAATTTGTAAATATGGAGAAAATTTGTCATCGTTATGTGATACAATACTTTCATTTGAAAGGTTTCAGTCCAACCAATATTAAAGCTGAGCTAGATTCTACTCTGGGGGAGTATGCTCCCTCATTTACAGCAATAAAATATTGGGTGCCAGAGTTTAAATGAGGCCGTACGAACATCGTAGTGGTCGACCAAGTGAGGTGACCATGTCAGAAATGGTGGAAAAAATCACAAAATGGTATTGGATGACAGTCAACTCAAAGTGCGAGAGCTAGCAGAGCATGGTAGGCATTTCAAAAAGTGCTGTAAATTGCATTTTAACTGAAAATTTGGACATGAAAAAGCTGTGCACAAGATGGGTGCCGTGTTTGCACACAATGGGACAAAAACAGCGTCGTGATGATGTTTCAATCGAGTCTTTGGCAATGTTTCGCAGCAACAAAGCCAAGTTTTTGCGTCGATTCATAACCATGGATAAAACATGGGTCCATCATCCATCACTTCATACCTGAGACGAAAGAACAGTCGAAACAATGGACTGAAAGGGGAGAATCAGCTCCAAAGAAGGCGAAAACAGTTCCATCTGCTGGCAAGGTCATGGCGTCAGTTTTTTGGGATTCACCCAGGAAAAACAATCAATGGCAAGTATTATGTGAACTTATTGCAGCGCTTGAGTGATGAAATCAAGAAAAAAACGGCCAATTTGGCGAAAAAGAAAGTGTTGTTTCATCAAGACAACGCAGTTCACACATCCGTTATTGCGATGGCCAAAATCAATGAGTTAAGGTTCAAATTGCTTCCTCACGCACCCTATTCGCCAGATTTAGCCCCCTCGGATTATTTTCTCTTTCCAAACTTAAAAAAATGGCTTGGTGATAAAAGATTTGCCAACAATGAAGAGGTGGAGTCTGCGGTT